ATTATTAATTACGTATTACTGGACTCTTCTGTACGTTAATACAAGTACTATTAGAGAACTCAAGAAAGGGCAGAGGATTTTCCTGGAGATACCTCTGCGAAAAGCGGCACCATTTATGTGGAGAATTTAGGCAGTGAAACAGTTAAACGAGCTCTTTCTGTTGTGATATTAACTGATCATTAATTTTTACGCTGCATTTTAACAAAATTAATAAAAATGCCTTAGTACATACTCGTAATGTTGGATATAGGGGGAATTCAGTGGCGCACTCTACATCTCCCCTGTACTGCTCCAGTCATCCGTATGGACTGCCACGTTATGGCTGAACAGGGGTTTTCAAAGCGCTGCATTGCACCTGCACATTGATGCAAGTACTGTACATACCGCGTACGGCGCACTGATAATCAGCCAAGTGTTGCAATCACTGCATTGACGCTGCAGAATTTGCATTTTGTTGTGCGTCGCACAGGCAGAATCCTTGAAGTGTGCTCGAATCTGGTTCAAAACGGCACATTTATCACTTAAAATGATTCCCGTAACTTATTCTTCATTTTGCAACCAAAGTTGCGCAGAAGAAACCACTTTTTCGCCCGAAAATTGAAAATCAAAAGATTGGAAGATTTCGAAAACTCTCAAAACATGAGCCAAATCACGGTGCCACACCGGGCGGTGCCACCTGCGTCACGCTCTGGATGTCCACAGAATTTGTTTTTCCAACAACAATGTTAATAATTGTTAAGAACTCAGTACAATTCGGATTTTGATTGATAACCTCATCTCAAAAGTTTTGTTCGTTATTAATATTTCGATGGATATGTAATCCGCATTAGTAAAACGAATAAATTAATAAAATTTGCACGGTACATGTACCTGCATCAATGTGCAGGTATAAATGTGGCACGTTTTAAAAGCCCTGGAGGATGACTGGAGCAGTACAGGGGAGATGTAGAGTGCGACGGTAGAGTGCGACACTGAAATTCCCCTATATGATACAAGGTCTGTATATACAGTAGCTAAAAGTACTGTAGAAGCGTAATTTTTCGGGCATATGTACTGTACAGACTGTATTGTACCTATGGTCGTACCGTATGTGTACTATTGAAAATGCAGGGCTACTCTGTACATACGTATAACAATAATAACAATTATTATAAAAATAAGCTTCCACGAGTGCAATACCAACTTGCATTATCACAGTTATCACAAAGTAGACGATCGAACGAAAAGCGGACCATAACGGCTTTATTGCACCGTTTCGCATAAGTACAATAACGGTTTGCAAAAACTAGCGATTTGTAAGAAGCGGAACGATTTGCGCGTTTCAGCAACACTACAAACCGCTTTATTTTCTTCGTAGAAATTTTGATCCAAATCATTTATCACAAGTTCCTGGCGACAAATTTCACGACAACCCGCAAAAGCCTCAACGACTGGTTGTGTTTGGAAATGAAGAACATTCATGCAGTTCAATGGAAACCACCATCACGGTTACTACAAAAGTGTAGCGAATCTGCGAATGTATGTAATAGGAGTATGCACAATTACAACAAATTTTCATACCAGTAAAAATGCAGTGAAAAGGATAACTGAAATAAGTCTGAAAATATTTTACACAATACCGGCTGCGGTGTTTTGCGTATGATATTACGCAATACCGTAATATGGATGGACCTAGTTTGAATTGACGGGTATTGTATTTGCCCAACAGTTAAAAGCGTTGTCAGCTTCCGGCTCAAGAAAGCGTTTACTGTGGCTGTAATCATGCCTAACAACTAATTTGATTGTACATTGTTTTACTAATTAGTTAATATAAAAGCAAAGGAATGACTCGAGGAACAACTTTAACAACAAATACAAATTAATTTACCGTATTGCTAGTTTAGCGTGCTTGGCTGCTTACTCTCTAGACAGAATCAGCGCACATATGCTAGTGAGTGATAAATTTTAGGATTGCTTTCAGAAGCTTAGGACAAAAAAGACGCATAATCCCACCCACAGCATTCCGAACGCATGCGGCGCAGTGCGCTGCACGACGCAGCTAAAATATCCGGTTGTCGTACAACTGCACTTGCCACATGCGTACGGATATCTGGGTATGGGGTTATGCGTCTTTTTTGTCCTAAGCTGTACTTTCGCTCATGAGGAAAACTGCAACAAAAGAACACTGAGCGGACAAAATTTTCGGCAGAAGTGTTGGCTGCCCCGGATGCTTTGAACCGTTTAGCGGCTTCCTGCGTCGCCCAAAATGCTTTTCGCAAATAATCCAGTATTATTATACCGTAACGACAGTAAATTGTGTAATGTAGCCGTTCATCATAACATATTCTACGCTCATGAACCTGTCTGTCTGATCACTGTTCTACTTTACATGTCGTTCTCATATGCATATATAATGTGCCCTTGTATTCGCTACATTATCTATCGTTCTAACTACGATACATCCGCGTTAACATGTGTTCATAATAAAGCCTACGAAAAGCCCCGTTACAATTGGTAACACCTTTTGGGATTGTAAATTGCTCTTCTACATCTGTTATTTGTTCATTCATTTCTCCCTTCCTGATTAAGATTATTATGAATCACCATCCCATTGTCTTTACGTTTTAGCGCTAGAATCTTGATGCTCTTGACTTTTACTTTGGTACAGGCGATTCATTGTTGGATTTTCCTGCCAGCCAGCTAGCTGTTCTTGCTAATGCGCTTACCGCGCTTCTTGCCCTTGTGCTTTTTGCACTTCCTGCTACTTATTACTTTGTAATAAGAATCTTGCCATGTTGCGTTGTGGTGTTCCTAATTATGCGGGGATGAATCTTTTTTTTCACAGCGTTCGTTGCCTAACTCATCTTCATCTTCCGGTCAGCATCTTGCCGGCCGTGCCAGCTTTTTGGCTACACGTTAGCATAACAGCCGCTAGATCGTGGTACGGTGGATTAACCATCCCACCAGAACAGCAGTCAAACCGGCTACTGTTACAATACACTGTACGAAGCGGTCCGCATTCCGCCGAATGCCGGCTTTTTCAGCTGAATAGATGGTGCATCATTCGTGGGCAGTGAGCAGCGTCGGTATATCCGCTCTTCGCGGTCCACGAGAGCTTTCTCCTTTTTTTTAACGATTTGGTTTCCCAAAAAGCGGGTTGTCTGCACACCTAACGATTTCTGACGGATTCTGGGAGCTTCCGGGCGCGGAAGCCTGAGTAATTTAATGTCGCCTTGACCGCTTGACTTGAAAGATTATGCCAACAATCTGCCTGTTTTTGGGAACTGTCGGAGGTTCACAGAATATATGTTCACAATGGGGTCTCCGTTTACCTCTGGCAATGGTCTGGATTCACTCTCCTTTTGAAATTTCTTCCACTACACGTGCACGGCCTTGTTATGAAAACTGAATAAAGTGACCCCTTCTTTTTGTGCTGCAGTGACCCCTTCTTTTTCTGTTTTTGGGTATACAGTCACATAGTATAGTACAATAATCAGGGGTCATGATTTGTTGCGCGGTCTAAGTCGCATTACTGGTCGGCCTCCGAATCACACCGCAGCTTTCCGAACCGCTGTCTACGAAGAGTATTGTCTGGTTCGCCGTGAAACCGCCTCCTTTTCGGCCATTCAAACGCTAGCAAGTCGGGACATTTTAATCGATGGTTTATTGACGGTTCTCCTGCACTTCTACACATTTAAGGCTGCGGTGATGGTGTCGTGTGCGCGTATGACACGCTACAAAAACCCAGATAACTTCTAGTCTATTTAGTGTTGTAACTTATTTCAAACTGCAGTAAACACCTTCAGAAGAAAAGACAGAAGTGCGGCTCGCTGCTGCTTGCAAAGGTTGACATAGACTTTTAGAATTTTTATTGCTCAGTAACGGTAGAAAGTCTGAACAAAACTTTTTGAAATAAAATTCGATTAAAGATATAATATGTAGAGGACTAATTTACGTGCAGCACGATTTGGTCCATGTTTAAGAATATTCGCCTCTATTGTAGTAGGGGGCGAATATTCTTAAACCAATTCGCCTCTATTGTAGTATTGAGTATGTTTTCAAAACATCTGGATTCAGAATGTATTATTTGATCGCTAGCTTAATCCTGCCATCCCTCGCTAGCCAGTTATTTCGTTGTAGTGAGCTGAAGCGCTTATTTATTGATAATAATCTCCTTTCTTTCGAAACCACCCGAGAAAAGTTTTCACAATTTGCTTTGCATCCTTCAGGCAAGCATGTTATGAATGTTCATGGTTTTCAAACGGACGTTAACCTTGTCAGACGCCTACATTGAATTTCGTTTAGTCATAACAAATCTGGTGGTACTTGTCATATTAATTACTATTTACTGCTGACACTGACGGCTGATTGGCACCCGATAAACTGCGTTTACCTGGAACGTCGACGCGGCAATCAGCGCCACAATGCAAGGGTATGCAGTTTCGGGGAAATGCCGTTAATTCGCATCACATTAATTAGGCGCCATCGGTTTCCGAAACGGGTTCTTGTAAGTACAATAATATTTGGCGCACATTATTTATAAGTGTTTGGAAATTAAATATGAACCCATTTCCTAGATTATGAAAGTTGATGGAAATCGACAAAAACAAGCAGCTTGTACAGTTTGCAGAAAAAGGTGATGGAACGAGCAGAGTCAGTTGCCGCAATATTGATCACTGTCGGGAAGTAAAATTTCTGACATCAAGCAAAATTAATTATTAACGCCGCGCAGATCCATGTGCTCGTCAAGTCGATGCGCAACGTTCTAGGTATGCAAACCACACCGGCAATCAGATTTTGCACAATTCCACGGCAGTCACGCTTGCTTTCCGATTCATCGGTGTCTTATGTTTATTTTTGTGGCAGCGCGGCTTACTAAGCTTGCATTCTTACTTACTTCCTGATGCAGACGTTTTTCCTTGGGGCATTCATACTTTGCTTGTATAAATGTTTCCGATACATGTAAATGGAAAGTTGTCTATCGCACACGCTAAATTTTTGACAAGCAGTAATAAGCGTGGTGCCTCGTGACGTCAGGTGAATGTTCTTAAAATTAATGTTAATCGGTGACACTGACCGGCAAATTGACAACATCACAGATGTTGCATACATCTGCAGTATTAACGCTACGAAAAGCGTTAGTATATAAGGAGATGCTGCCTGAATGCCAGTGCTATTAACTGATATCCCATTCAGAGTCTGCTTAGCAAAACGCTCTGCTGGCCACCCTTTTCCCATCGTCTCTGAGTTCACTTGTGAACGATGAAGACAACCTCTGCTATCATCACGCTGTGGGTCATCGTCACGCTGCTTCCCCATAACAGCGCAGTGCAGTCTGGTAACCACACCGTCGAATCTGGGATCAACGCAACCAACGCTCGCAACCGCACAATCAACACTCAAAACGGCACAGTCAACGGTGAAAACGGCCCCATCAACACTGCAAACCGCACAATCAACGGTGCAAACGGCCCCAACAACACTGCAATTCGTACAACCAGCGCTGCAAACGGCACCATCGGATCTGGGAATGCCACCGACCTGAAGCCTGAGCAAACCCGGTAAGGCCCGTTAATGTGTCTATTAGGTTTCCCCCGTAAAGTTGGTTTCAGTGCAATGGCCTCCTGGAACCCAGCTGCTGATCTCAGAGACCTTGCTTTCACACATTTAGCGCCCTGTACAGATAAGAACATTTCAAAGCATCATGCTCTGTCGAATACAATTAATGTATTGTCGCATGAATCATAATCAAGTGATACTGTTCATACATATAACTACATAAAAGAGATGCCAGTAGCGCACCTAGATAATCTCTATATTTGCTGCCGTCATCCGGCTGGAGTGTGGCGTTGCGGCAGTACATATGGCTAAATCTGGCGTGGTACATAAGCACCATGTATAGTCACAACGTCATACTCCCGCCGGCTGACAGCAGCAAGTGCAGGGATTATCTAGTGCGCTACTGACATCCCTTCGTAGACGTATATGTACACTGAAGAGAAGGCGCAACGGATTTTTGAGTACGCGCTTAGTGGTACAGCGCAGACATCGCCAAACATCGAGCCGAACTTTAACTGCATTAGCCGATTAGCGGTTGAATTAACCGTTAACCGTAGATGGTAGCCCTAACAAACGTTCGTAACTGCCAACCGTGCATGTTTGAAGCGTGGTAGTTGTTTGTTTGCTTCACACTGCAGCCATACACGGCTGACGGTTACACTTGGTTGTTAGGGCTAATATCGACACTACCGACCGAATGTTGGTAGCGTCGTAACTTTCCCGTACGGTTGCCAACCATCACCGTACGCTCGCGCACGAGGTCGACAGGATTGAAGATAAAATTTGCGTCATGGTCTTATTAAATGCGGCGTAGCAACAGGTTTCTGAGTGCAGAATGAAAAGCTGTTCTACGACGTACACATAAATGCAGAACCCGAAAAAAAATTCACTTTGACGGTTTCTTTTGAAAACAGCATTACTGTGTTGTTTTCAATAAAAAATTTAAGAAACAAAATTTACTATTAAGGTAAAATGCGATGCCTCGCCAGCTGATTACCATAAAGTACAACCCGGATCTACTGGCCGCAGATTTTAACTCCTCTAGCTGCGTGAAAACGAGAGCAGGCCGTTAAAGCGACCAAGTATATCTTATAGAGTGATCAACTGGCCCAACTTTTATTCTCTAAATTATGACTATCGACGAACCATTTAAAAGTAGGATTACTAGCGAGCTCATATTGAATGCATCTGCGTTTTTTAGCATTTTCTATGGAGATATCATCCAGCAGATGCTTATGCGTCGATGTCCCGATCCACTGCAAATTTATGACTGCAAAGAGTGTGAGAAACATTGCGGAAATCTCAACCCCTCGCCGTATTGCGGTTACGGCTGTCAATTAACATCAACATGCATCTGCAAACCAGGTACATATCGTACATTCCGGGAATCACCGAAATGCGCGCCTCCGGATGGGCCCATCATCAACAACTGCAAGCTGCCACCCAACGTTTATAAAGGTTAATGTAGGCAGGGCCAGATGGGCGAGGCGATGCCATGTCTTGCGATCATTTGAAGTATACCGCATACGCTGACTATCGCTTAATTTCTCTGACGAGCGTTGCGTGATCCCTGATATTGTCTGGTTGCTTTTGATTAGATATGGTTCTGCTAATGTCATGAAATGCGCACTTATACAGTTATACATGACCGGTTGTCAGACTAAAATAAACAACGATGAATTTAAACGAAGAACGAAGAACTCTTAGAATATAAACTGCCTATTAGTATACTAGCTAAATTTGGCGATTAATTAAAAATCCTAAGATTTCGTGGAATTCGGATATCGCTGTGCTTGTTGCAGTTAGCACATATATACAGCTGGAAAGCCAAAAAAATGGGTGGCTATAAAAAACTGGGGTGAGATGGGATGGTTATATTGATTTCCTTACTGGTTAGCTTAATTGACCGTGCTTTGTGTAATACGAGTTGAATATTGTAAGGTTAGATCGAAAATTCCACTATGCTCGAAATATGGCAAAAATGTTGGATCAGGCACTTTTGCCTGGCATACTCAAAAATATTCTGTAAAACTAACGTACTTCTAGGAAAAGTTTTAGTTACATTTGTGTAAATTGAAAAGAATGGAATGCAAAATGTTACAGTTGATTAGCAAAGAGACATGCATATCCTTGCAAATTAGGCGGAGCCCCACTTATGCATGGATACCGTACCTGTATAAAGGGAGATGGTGATTAATGGATACCAAATCTTACGCGTGACGTCGTTATATACGGTAATCGTGCATCCTGCACTTGAAAGTACAGAGATCGTACGGCGTGCAGACGAAACTTAACCCCGCATTGAGGTGTAGGGCTTTCTGAGATCTTGAGCAGCGACCGTAGACCACAATAAACGCGGAGGCGAAGCCGTAGCCGTTACTTGGACGTAATAATTATTGTAATTTCCGGGGTTTCGATTCGACAGTGCTGCTGCTGACTACCCCTGCTGAAGTGACTCACCGGAAGTAAACGCACAAATTACGACTTCCTCCGCGCTATTGATTTACGATTTGTGTTGCTGAGCGGAACCAGCGATTTACTGTGGTTACAGGCATTGCCATATGACAGGAAATACACTTATTTGATCAATTACCGCACACGTCTTACATTTCCTTTTGTGTAAATGTGAAATCTGTCCTTGGTCAATTATGTTCTGATTGTAACAGTTTTCAAACGAACGATTAATTGTCAGAGTTGTACATTTAAATTTAGTCAATCGTAAGCAATCTGGTGGTACTGTTGACACTGACTGGCTGATTTACGCCGGCAGTCAAACTGCGGTTATCCCGGAACGCCGACGCGAAAATAAGGGCCCGCGCTGAAGCGCTGAGTCTGAGTCTGAGTCTGACCCCTAAAAGGCTGAGTCTGACTACTGAAAGTTTGAGTCTGAGCACTAAAGGGCTGAGTCTGACTATTAAGAGGCTGAGACTGTTAAAGTAATATCTCGATGACTTTAACTCTTGACCGGAAATATGGGTCCAGCGAATCATATGGTCCAACATATGGTAACATACAATTAACGCTAAAACAAAGTAATGTAAAAGTGCAAAATGTTATTAATTTGGCAACACCCCATGCGGTAATCCAACACGGGACATTTACCGTAGGTTTTTGAGAGTATAACTGTTTAACTGCAGCAACACAAACGTTGAACAGAACGAAAGAAATAACCACAACTGCAGCGCTACTCGGCATTTCCGGCCAAAATAAAAATAAATTTATTTCAATTACAGTAATTCAACTACGTACTTGCTGTACCATGTATACTGAATAATAAGACGGTAATCTCCGCATGTAATCAGATCTACCTATAATAATAATTATGGTGATATGTACTGACTAGTAATCGTATGCAACAAGGCTCAATAAATTGAATAAAGCACATGCATTACACCAGTAGAGTAATAAAGAATAGCACTACCCAAAATTGAAATGTACCTGTCGGCTTCTCACTACAATAACAGTATGAGGTGTTTGTTGATGCGCGTATTTATGCATGTTCAAATAACAGCACTAATTATAGCTAATGTTAATGAAGCAAAAAATCATACAGCGTTAATTGCAGCAACATTACAGCCTATCTTTAATGATTATACTAGCCTATTCTGCCAATGTAGTATTAGAATTTCAGTTCTGCACGACATAGGCATAACAAAACCACCGACTCGCCTTCGTAGCTGATCAGCTGGAAGTTAATCCGAAATAACTAATCGTATGGTCGTTCAAGTGAAACACTATGATAAGTGAACGAGCGATGGTCGTTCAAGTGAAACACGAGAAATAATAAATTTCCCGATTTCCCAGACCGAGTAGGTAAAGACTGCAATGAACAGGCTAAATTTCAGAAATTGCTACAAAATCGTAATGAAGTTACCGTCACTCAAAAATTACCCAGATGCAATTTATTATATTTTACGACCATCGGCATTCCAGATAAAGTATACTTATATGCCTATCTAGCCATCGTTCCTATGCAAACCTGTGATCAACAATAGAATAATGATCGGCGGTGTCAAATTTTAGTAGTCGGGGGAGAGCGCATCGAATGATTAATCTCGTGCGGCTGGGCTTATCAGCAAACCGCTTTCCGGAGCAGAATGCCGCCTTTCCAAAACAGTTGGTTTGGTAGATTAGTGAGCCAAAACAAGTAAATGGCGCCTAAAATTCCTCAGCCGTAAGAAATCACATTAAGCCTTTCCCAAGGCAGTTGAAAATGGCGAAAAATTGCAGGATAAACGGCAACACAGCGTTTCCCCATAAAGCTATCTGATGTGATTTTAATATGAACAATGTCTGTCAAGCAGTGACTGCCAGTCCTTAATTAGTAAAACTTTAATGACGTAACGCTATAATTATTTAAAGTACTGCTTTCTCCGTGGTTACAGACTTACAGTCATTATTAAATACTGGACTTCATTTCGGTGCTCTACATTTCCTACACTTAAGACCCGATGAAAGGATTTTCTGACTAGAGGCCGCTAAAGAAGAATCTATAGTGAAATTGCAGATTTGTGGAAAATATGGCGTTTTTCACGATCAAGCCAAACTGACGACGCGGTTTTGAATCCACAAAAACGGCGTGTCATTTACGTGTCATTTTTGATTATCTTTTTGAATTTTAGTTTTCATTTTTTATACTTAGCTTTAACTGACGCTGTGATTAGCTACGTTATCTGAACCTGTACGATATGCACATTAGGACGTTAATGCTTTTCACTTTGAGTACAATTGCTGGCAAGCAGAATTCTTCATTATACCACTGCTATAATGCATTTGTCTTTATTCAAGTTTAGTGAACCGTGTTTCATAGGTTTAATTGTCAGTGCATACTGCATAATGAATATTCCCGGCTAATTATACGAGGATCTAGGATCTATGATTTGGTTACGATCTACAATAGTTATGAGCGCGCATTATCGGCTTATCATACAATGGACGACAAAAAAAAGTTGAAATCGACCGGCCAGTGTGCGGTCGCGCCTCATCAACTTCTTTTTGTCGTCCACTGTAAATGTTCCCTAATGCACCTCAACCTGCAACTGTATGCTATGCGCACTGCAGTACTGTGTAGCAGAATAAAAGTATCCGCGTCGCGCTGTATCCGCACTAGTTGCGCGAATCGTGTACGCGCTCTTACAAGTGCCCGTGGCTGCAATTTCGTGGCTGTACTGTCCTTCAAGTGCCGGGCTGGGGCACAGTACAGTTGTAATTAAACTAACTTTAGTTTTATTTTAACTTAATTAAATTAACTTTCAGTTAATTAATAACGTTCGGTGAACCGTGAACGTCCCGTGCCGCGTACGTCCCGATCGCCGCAATCTATTGTACACATACATAACTTGGTTTTAGGGTTGCATGTAATACGGGGTTTTGCTGTACGTCGCAAATTTTTAGTCATGTGTTAAAGTCATCGAGACTTTACACGTGCAGTATTAAGAAAACTCAGCATTTTATAGTCAGACTCAGCCTTTTAGTACTCAGACTCAGACTCAGCGCTTCAGCGCGGGCCAAAAATAAGCGCCCGCATATAAGGAGATGCAGCTGGTGCCATTGCCGTTAATCGTTATTGCAATCCCTTTGCTCAACTACTGTTCCCCCTAATTCAGTCTTTGCCGAGCTCACTTTTATACGATGAAGCCAACCCCTGCTATCCTCACGCTATACGGTGCCCCTCCATTGCGGTGCAGCGCAGTCTGGTAACAACAAAGTCGAATCTGATTCTGGGCAAAACGAAATCAAGGATGGAGACGGTATAATCAAATCTGGGAATGCCACAATTAAGCCAACGGAAAAACGGTAAGGCCAGTTTATGATTATTGCGGATGTGGGCGACCTGCCTCATAATATACGCTATACTGGTATACATGCCGACCGAACTGCGCGCTAAACCTTTATGCCAGATCTCTCTCTTTACACATAACGCCTACCGCGCATTTTATACTTCACAGACAACAGCATGACAATATAGCATCTAGAACAATCTAGAAGACTCTACACAATGCTGGCGGCAAACACTCCAAACCACTAGCTGACAAAGCATGACCAGGCATCGTCGTGCACATGCGGTATACACATTGTGTGTAGATACAGCGTATGCTGTATCTACCACACTACCCTCCTTCTGTGGAAAAAAAACATATTCATGCAGTTTTATAAGTAGACAATTACTGATGACTAAGTTGACTTCTTTGTAGTTTTCTTCCTTCTTTAAGTAAGATGGCATAATGTAGGCATTTCTTGCGGTTTTAAACTTAGCATGGTAGATTTCCGTCCGAAGATCCGGTATATTCAATTCAGTCTTAAAACAGCTCGACATTTTGGAGGTCGGAATTGCAACAGTATCTCCATTTTCGCACAAAGGAAATTATTTCATAACGGAATAATATAGCGTCTCACACAGCTGTCACACAGTTGCTATTAAGGTCACGTTCACTCAGTCCGCTTCCCTTATTCAGTTATAGGCCCCCAATATTTTGATCCTGTAGATACCTTTGTCATTCGTGACCTTTCCAACAGTCTGCAGCAAGATGTCCAGATTCGCGACATATGTAGCATAATCTAGGAGCAACGGGACGGGATCGACCTGTAGATCTTTCTGCATTCTTTTTTAGTTGTTTAGTAATGGAAAAATATAATCTTGGCCGTATTTGCGGAGGTAACGCTTGTAGTTCATGGCAAAGTTGGTGATGGAAATCCTGTATGGCAACAGGCATGTTGTACATAAATCTTTCTTGAAGTTGTTGCGGTAGATGGACGAACAGGGCGCAGATAATTTGTTGGTCATTTTTCGTTTGATTTACACTTGTGAGATATTCAATCACGTTGTCGATGTATTTTTCGGGTGATAAGGATTTAGGACTCATGCTGTGCTGCGAAAAGTTTGTAATGGAATGGTATGGTCGGTCAGTGATGATGTTCCAGCATTATGTTGTACTGCGCTGGGGAGGATTCTGGTTGGTGATGGTGAAGGCTGATTTCTGGGCTCAATGAAATCAGATAAGCGAAATAGCGATGATGGCTATTCCATGCGCACTGGGATAAGAAGCTTGTATATATGAGGCAGATCTCCACAATAAAAAAATTAACTTGATGAAAGGTCGTAGAAAACTTTTAGCAACTCAGAGGATTTATATAAAGGTCACCGTGGTTCGAAACCGATCTGCTACCAGATGTGGGCGACCTGCCTCATGATATACGCTATACTGGTATACATGCCGACCGAACTGCGCGCTAAACCTTTATGCCAGATCTCTCTCTTTACACATAACGCCTACCGCGCATTTTATACTTCACAGACAACAGCATGACAATATAGCATCTAGAACAATCTAGAAGACTCTACACAATGCTGGCGGCAAACACTCCAAACCACTAGCTGACAAAGCATGACCAGGCATCGTCGTGCACATGCGGTATACACATTGTGTGTAGATACAGCGTATGCTGTATCTACCACACGGCTTACGTTTTCACGGTTAAGCAGGATTTAGAAAACCTTCGAGAAAAATTAGTATAACCAACTGCAAATCTGAGATAATTCTCTCTTGCGCAGTTAGCATCGTCATCGAGTGATCAGGTGTTTTCAACTGTCCTATCAATTGTGCATATGCGGAAGTTTGATTTGTACAGTTGCCGATAATACGGCAACGTGTTTCTTTCCAATCGATGCAGTCGCCACCAAGAGCAGTTGCTATTTCGCAGGGCTTAACGGTAAGCGTGACGATAACTATGCTTTCTATCGTCAATCCTATCGTCAAACGGTCCGATAAGGGTACGCCATGATGACGCGCAAGAGCCTATCGTATATCGTACCGTATATCGTAAGCCTTTTTGCGCTTGCGAACACAATCTATTGAGTAATCAATCAACTCACGGTTAACGGTATTCATAGTGATGCCCACCGATGCAGCATCTTAGTGAGTTTACTGGCGAGCTTATGCCGAATGCCTAATTGGCATTTCCTTTGCAGTTCATTTGCATGCGGCCGCGCAAAAAAAATTATGACATGTCCCGATCCGTTGACTATTTGGGGCTGTCAGGAGTGTGAGAGGTCTTGCGGAAACCCCAAACCCGTCGCCGTTATGCAATTTTTCTTGGGACTTGAAAATGGTCTTGCAAACCAGATACATACCGCACCTTCCAATCACCGAAATGCCGCGCAATGGGCCTATCATCAACAACTGCATAGTCCTCTCAGCAGGGCGCCATCCGAGGGAAACTGAGAAACGGCCGGAAAATGCGCCGATAAGGGAATCGAACCTCGGCTACGTCGTAGATCCGCGTAGGCAGTACCACCGAACCACGGCGCAAAGTTGTCGTATCTAAAAGAGTTGGATAACCTTTTTAGACCACTTCCCTGCCACGCTTAGCGGTATGAGCACTCTTCTCTCTCAAACTGGTATGGCGAAAACAACTTGGAGGAACGATGGAGATACGAACAGGAACACAGAAACCAGGAATGCCTATCAGGAGCCCTGCGAAACACACGAACGAACGAAGAATGCCTTACTTCTCACTTCTGGTCTCGGGTAATACAAGGATCAGATAAAGGGGAAGGTCGATTGTGACGCGAGTATACTGCGGCTGACTACGCTATAATCCGTAACTTGATTATGAACGCCAGTCGTAACCTTTAGAAGATACTGCCCTTTAATCTAATGCACAAGTATTTCCTCAACACATAGAAGTCAGAAAAGTAAGAAGATCAGAAACCAAGAGACTAATTCCTGACCGCTCTTAGATAATAGGCATCACTCGAGCTTATTTAGACTAGCAGAAGTACACGGCATACTAGGGACTTAACGTACAACCAATCACAGGTAGAGAGATGACTAGATAATAACACGGAGACTCGTATTTACAGGTGAAAGGCGGACATCTTAGAGGCATCCGGACGTACGTACGATGTAGGATATCCTCCTCCCCACGTCAAAGTGTTGAAAATCCTTGAATGACTTTGTCGCTGTATATGAGCCGGTTCTCTCCTCACACCCCCCTTGCAGCTTTCGCTACGTCTTCGTAGCGAGACCAAGCGATCCTCCACGCGGCTCCTTATCCGCACTTTCCGAACGGCTTATTCACCGAAAATCGGATTTAGAGGCTAACGCACTGGGCTCAAAGGCGAAGTGGACGTACCGAACCTTGATCTGCTACCATCTCAGCAGAGAGCTATCCGAGGGAAATTGAGAAACGGCAGAAAAAATGTGCCGATAAGGGAATCGAACCCCGGCTACGTCGTAAGATCGGCGTAGGCAGTACCATTGCACCACGGCTCAAAGTGCTGAAAATCCTTGAAAGACTTTGTCGATGTATGTGCGCCGCTTCTCTCCTCAAAGTCACAAGAAAAGGCTAGATGCTGCCGATGTTGAATAGCCGCGGCTACCAAATGTTTTGCTTTTGTTAAGTTTAGTTGTAATAATTCTGGTGATGACATTATACTTCCATAAATGCGTATTTGTACGTGATTCGGTGCAAATAAACGTACACGGCCTCCAGACGTTCGTGAATGAGATCCATTGGAATTCGGACCTCGTCCAAATGCCGCAGCAGCTCGTGGTTTAATTACACGTGCTGGCCTGCCGACCGTGTTGACCAAATCGGCGCGCCAAACCAAGCCTCGTGTTTTTAATCACCAAATTAACATCGTTGGTTCACCATTTTGCACAGTGAGGATAGCTGATTCTGTATTAAAATGCCAATTCCGAGTAAAGCTCTTGATCGACTGTTTTAAGCTAAAATACTAAGATACTAAGGGCACACGTGCCCGCAGCAGGCAATTAACTGCACAAACTTGGAAATCACAATCAAATGAACCACACGATCATGGACATGCCATCTACGCCAATCTACAACTAATGGCGTAAAGCACTGTCACAGGCACTGTACTTTCGCAAGTTTCACAACAGCGAACAGATACTGTACAAAAACAGCAGATATGCAAGATATGCAACTACCGAAACATCAACAACAGCACACTTTTAAAAGACTATAACAAGAAAATTTCCTTAATTTCTCGGAATCCTGTATTGTGCCCATCACGCACATAGCGTTCCCTCTTTGAATTCGTATGGAGATCCGCTGCCGGAAAAATTCTTTCGCGCGTGGTTGCCCGGTGCGGCCGCTGCGAAGTGTCCGATTTTATCGACCAGCTTCTCTCGCTCCGTCTCCCAAGGGTCCGTATATTTCGAAAGCCGCGGGGGTAAAATCATATCTTGGCTGAAGCCACGCATGTTTTGTGAGCTTTTTTGTTTTGGCCAGCTCCGCTGCGGCACCGACGTTGACGGATTTCCGGTCAATATACGAAGTTGCCAATTCCGAAATCAGCTACGCGCCAATTGCCAAATGCCAATTCCTCACCGGTTAGTAAATAATGCACTGCCTACAATTCCACACACCGTTATTGTACGAAGGTCTTCCTAGCCCGGCTACTAAAGGTAGGCAGACTAGTATGCGTGTCGCGAACAATCCAGTATTACCAACCCAGCACCCTGCACCGAGCCGGCATTCCGCCAGCTAGATATACGCTCCTTACCAACCAGTTCTTATACGCTTTATTTTCAATATAAGTAAAGACGAGCACCGCAAGCAGAAATATATACAAAACAAAACCTGTCCCAGCTAGCATGAGACGGGACCGTGCAGTTGCACAATACACTCGTGGCATTGCCGCTCATGAACTCTGAACTTAAACGCAGAAACAAAAAGCCTTTAGAACGACTCTAGCCCGTCCTAATAATAAACACTTTCATGCCGATCTGGTTTATCAAAGCAAATGCAGCACCGCATCATGTGCCAAAAGTTTCGCATGCAGTAGGAACAAAGTAACAATGATCGGTAATCGTGTTTCCCCTTCTTATGCGTGAAAGCTAGTTTGGCAGCGGCGCCCGCGCATTGCGAAGTCGCATGAATATGCGACTTCGCAATGCTTGTTACCCAAAATTGTTTTGTTACCCAAAATTTTGTTTTGTTACCCAAAATTTTCGCGTCACCTGACGATTTCTTACGGAATCCGAGAGATGCGGGTTGTGAAGGAGTGGTTGTCATTTTGTCATTTAAGGGGGGAAGATTATGCCGGTACACCGAAAATTTGCTGACCTACACTTTGCTTTGACGATTGGCTGTCCGACAGACGAAATGTGGACCCGACAGTTTGTTGAAAATTATGAAACGAAAAACTCGCTGATCCACAAGCTGCTGAACGACAGCTTGCTGAACACGGACATTCTGCTGACGGCATTATGTTAAAACTGGAAAACGTAAGAAAAACAGGCGAATAGTTATGCGGTTATGCTGGTTAGCCGATTGTCGTGGTATTCTTTAGAGTGACGGGTGCTGGGGGATTCGCGAGATGGAGCTCTTTTTCATCTTCATCGGATAGAGGTGGAGTTTATCAGTATTTCGGTGTTGTAATTCCATTCAAAAGCGCAGTAACTATATCATGCCCGAATTCCATTTCGCAGTTCCATACGGAGATAGACATACAGCGTGGAGATTTTAAAGACTCAGAGATTACAAAACGCTGTATTGATTCATTATTGAAGACGTAGTAACATAAGATTAATGATATATTTCTAGTATTGATTCAAGTTTCTGAATAGACGTTGGGTAGATTAACATGGCCTTTCAACATGGCAAAGTGCAACAAATCTTAAAGCAGATTACGGCTTTTGCTATTTCTTTCCTCACCAATTTTTTCTTGAAAATATGAATATTCTTGCGATTGTACTGCACGTTTGCGTGGTTCAATAAACAAATTGTTGATCGAAATCACATCTATCTGTACAATGAATTGTGTTGTCGTCATAAACGTCCTGACATTTTTTTTTTATTTTTATGATCCTGCCGCTCCTCGCCAGCCAGTTATTTTCGCCTTGCTTAAAATGGAAGGGGGTGAGCTCCATCGGCTATTTATTTACCTTTATCTCTTTTCTTTCGAAACGACTAGAAACGTTTGCGGCTTAATTTATGTCTCTAGGGTAATCATGTTTTGATTGTACAAGTTTTTCGAACGAACGATCAGCTTAGCAGATGTATACATTGTATTTTGGGCAGTCATAACAAATCGAATGCCAACCGATTTGTACTTATAACAATAACTAGTATTTCCTGCTGACAAAGACCGGCTGATTGGCATCTAGCTGACAAACTGCATTTACCCGGATCGTCGACTCGGCAATCAGTGCCAAAATGCAAGGACGTGCGGCTGAGTGGGAGTGCCATTAATTGGTATCCCAGTTATTTGGCAAGACCTCTTTCTGAAACGGTCCTCGCTTACAAGTGCATAAATATAACCCACGCATATTGTTTTTCGGAAGCGCTGTAAATTAAATATGAAAACGTTTCCAAAATTAGAGGAATTTATAGAAACTGACAGAAACATGCGGCTCTTGTACAACGTCAGATAAAAACTCATCATTCTAACAAGCAATGCCAGGTTTATTCTTAATTAAATACCGGTGTCAAGAAAAATTATTTAGGACGTCATCAAAGTATTTAGGCATCAAAACTAATTGATACTAAGCATAATTAATTCGTACATCCGCAATGTATCTGTTCGTGAAATGGATACACAACGTTTCAGACTTTCAGGTATGCGCAACTTACTGGCAGTCACATTGTACACAAGCCACGGCAGTCACGCTTTTTTCACATTCATCCGTGTCTTGTGTTTATTTTAGTGGCAAGTATGCTTAATTAGCTTGCTATTCTCACTTGCTTCTTGAAGCAGATGGTATCTTTCCTTGAGGCGCACGTGTTTTGCTTGTATCAATTTTTCCAATAAACGGAAAACTTAGCAATCAAAACAAACTGAATCTTGGACAGGCAGTATAAGCGTGGTGCCTGGTGGCGTGAGATGCATGTTTTATTTAATACTAATTGGTGACACTGACCGGCTAATTACAGTAGCACAAATTAATAATGCGTTCATCTAAAAAATTAACGCGACAAGCGCCAGTATATAAAGAGATGTAGAGTGTCAATGATGTTAACTGATCCCCATTCACTTGGCACAGCACTCGGCTGTCCACTCTTTTCCATCTTCACCGACATCACTGGCATGCGATGAAGTCAACCGCTGCTATCCTCACGCTTTGGGTTGTCGTCACGCTGCTCCATTGCAGCGCCGAGCAGTCTGGTGACAACTTCGTCCAATCTGGGCACGACGCAGCCAGCGCTGGAAACGATACAGTCAAATCTGAGATTCCCACCAACAAGACCTTAGGGAACACCCGGTAAGCCCATTTACATATGACTTAAGCGGCTTAAGTTTCCACGGTGGAGCAGGTTTTTGTGGAATAATTTTTTTATAAGGTAGCCAGCTTATCTGCGACACTATTCTTTCACGTAGTCAGTGTCGTGTCAGTACTGCCTTTAATTGTACTTCCACGACATTAATTGCGTGAAGAAGAATAAACTTATAATCATAAGTCATAGAAGTATAATTATAATCATCATTATAATTATTTTTTATGAGGGTATATCAGTAGCGCCACCAGATAATCCCTGCATTTGCTGCCGTCAGCCAGCTGGGGTATGACCGTTGCGGCAACATGTATCGCTAAATCTGTCACGGTACATAAAGACCATGTATTATCACAATGTCATTGCTCCAGCCGGCTAACGGCAGCAAGTACAAATACAGGGATTATTCAAATGCGCTACTAACATGATTGTCTTTTCGCGTTGTCGCCTAAATCACTATGGAGTGATCATGTTAATACAACTCGGTGAACTCAGTTTCGCTGTTCGGGTCAGAGTCAGAAGGCGGTAGTACAGCAGAGGCATACATACACAAGCTGCAAAGCGTGTGTTTGCATACTTCAGCTTACTTTTTTACAAAGATGCGATGATCTAGCACGTTTTCCAAATTTTAAAATATTTTAAAATAATTTAAAAATTTTAAAAACACGCTATAACCGTGGATCGGTGTAAGAACTACGCGCACCAGCGGTTTTTGCTCACTTGTGTACAAACCGTTTTGCTACAAATGCGATAAATTAATATCTGTACAGCAAAAAAAAATGTTTAGGAGAGCGCCACAGCGAAATTTGCTACAAAAACACGAAATTGATGATCATGTACCTAGCTCCTTTCCTTAAAGGGAATCTAAGCAACCAAGAATCGGCTGAAAAAGGCACCGATGGGGGAATCGAACCCCGGCTAAGTCGTTAGATCCGCGTAGACAGTACCACTGCACCACAGCGCAATACGCTGAAATCCTTTGAAAGATTTTGTCGCTATACGTGAGCCGCTTCTCTCCTCACAGGAAATAAGCTATTACATGAAACCGCAAAAGCGGCTAACAATAACTACAAACCGGATCTGTAGACAGTACGTTTTGATTTCTACAAGCGAACGCAAAGAGGCGGGCCGGCAAAACCATCCAGAATTTATTATGGCGTAATCAATCAATCAGCTTAAGTGTAATCATAGAGATGACCACCGACGCATCATTTTACAGAGAGATTTCTATATGACCGTTTTACTTTTATCTTACGTTACA